TTTTCTTCCTTCTTTCCTCCCTTCCTTCTTTCCTCTCCTCCTTCCTTCTTGCCTTCCTTCCTTCTTTCCTCTCTTCCTTCCTTCCTTCTTTCCTCTCTTCCTTCCTTCTTTCCTTCCTTCCTTCTTTCCTCTCTTCCTTCCTTCCTTCTTTCCTCTCTTCCTTTCTTTCCTCTCCTCCTTCCTTCTTTCCTTCCTTTCTTCTTTCCTCCCTTCCTTCCTTCCTTCTTTCCTCTCTTCCTTCCTTCCTTCCTTCCTTCCTTCCTTCTTTCCTCCCTTCCTTCTTTCCTCTCCTCCTTCCTTCTTTCCTTCCTTCTTTCCTCTCCTCCTTTCTTTCCTCTCCTCCTTCCTTCTTGCCTTCCTTCCTTTCTTTCTTTCCTCTCCTCCTTCCTTCTTTCCTTCCTTCCTTCTTTCCTCTCTTCCTTTCCTCTTTCCTCTCTTCCTTCCTTCCTTCCTCTCTTCCTTCCTTCCTTCTTTCCTCGCTTCCTTCCTTTCTTCTTTCCTCTCCTCCTTCCTTCTTTCCTTCTTTCCTGCCTCCCTTTTCTCTCAGTCTCCTCTTTGTATCTCTCAGACTCTTCCTGCTTTCCAGCCCCTGTTTCTCTCTCTCAGTATATCTCCCTTTCAATCTTTCTCTCCCAATCTCAATTTCTCATCTCTCCTCTCTTGTGCTCTCTCCCTCTGTCTTCTGTCTGTCTGTCTCTCTGTGTGTCCAAAATATAGAGCCCAAGACCTGCACGCCAAACATGCTCTCTCCCTGTCAGCTGCATCACCAGCCCTGGTGCACAGATTGGGTAGTGGCTAGAAGAACAGTGAGAGAGGGCAGAAGGAATCTGGCCTGATTTTCTCCCTAGCACACCAAAGGTCAGAACAAGGAGGCGCGGAGGAGTCCAGGACCCCAGTCAAATGCATGAGGTTGGGAGGTGAAGGGTCCAGTCTTCCAGAAAACTGTGGAGTGGGTGAGAGCAAGGGCTGGAAGTGCATGCTGAGATCAAGTGCTCTAGGGGCTCTTTCTGGGGTGACCCCAGCAAGGGTGTGATGCTCACGGGGGTCATAATCCCACACTGTTAGACCCGCATGGAATTGTTCACAGTTTGGGTGAGAGGAGGGCTTTGTGTGCCCTTTAGATGTCCTTATGGTGATCACATATCACCTAGCCCAACCACTCATTGTCTAGGGGAGGAAACTGGGGCAGAAAGAAGCGGGAAGCCTTCCTGGGGCCACATGGCCAGACTGTGGCAGAGTGGAGACCAGAAGCCAAGCTAGAAGATTTTCATCATCTCTAAATCCCCTGGCTGGTTCCTATTAGAAGCCTTCCCAGCCCTGCTTGCCCTGACTCCAGACCTCCTGACCCACTGCTGCTCATCTTGCCCACAGGACCCCTGTGCAGCATCCTCATAAGACAGTTTGGCTGCCGAGTGACCATGATGCTGGGAGGCTTGCTGTCCAGCCTGGGCATGGTAGCCAGCGCCTTCTCTGCCTCACTCAGCCAGTTCTTCTTCACTGCAGGATTCATCACGGGTAACTGTCACTCTGTCCAAAGTGGCAGGGCAGGTGGGATGGCTTGCAGCCCAGGGGAGAAGACAGCCAGGAGACAGGTCCATAAGAATGCTCGAGAGGACAGGGCTGGGGATGTGATAGCCTCCTGGCCTGAGGGAGCAAGCATGAAGAGTCAAGAAGAAAGACACCCAAGGCTCCATAATGAGACCCTGTCTTAAGGTTCATTGTCAGTTTGAAGCCAGACTGGGCTACATTGCAAGTGTAAAGCCAGCCTGAGCTACAGAGTAAAACCCTGTTTCAAATAACCAAGCAAATGAAAAAGGCCCTCTCACTGCATGGTCAGGGAGCAAGAGAGAAAGAAAAGGAACAGAGGGTCCCAGTAGCCCCTGACCCAAAGATCTCCCATTAAGCCCTACTCTCTCTTTTTAATTTTTAAAAAGATTTTCTGGGGCTGAAAAGGTAGCTCAGCAGTTCAGGTCCTCTTCCAGAGGGCCTGGGTTCAAATCCCAGCACCCACATGCTGTTCACAATTGTCTGTCACTCCGAGATCTGACACTCTCGCACAGACATACCTGCAGACAAAACACCAATGCACATAAAAATAAATAAATTTTTAAAAAATAATAAGCCTGGAGATGGTGGTACACAGCTTTAATTCTAGCACTTAGGAGGAAGACACAGGCTGATCTTTGACTTCGAGGCCAGATTGGTCTACAGAGTGAGTTCTAGGACAGCCAGGGCTACACAGAGAAACCCTGTCTCGAAGAAAAAAAAAAAAAAAAAAAAGGCAACAACAACAGGGCTCAAACTCATAGAGAGCCTGAATAGCCTCCAGAGTGCTGGGATTAAAGGCATTTACTACCACAAAGACTGGTCCAGTGAAGAAGGGAAAAACAATATTGCAAAACAGAAGAATTGCTGGTGGGAGCGCTTAAGCAGACAGGCCAAAGGGCAGAAATAAAGAGCCAACCCTGAGGGTTGCCCCTTGGACAGGTAAGTGAGGGGTTAGGAACCAGGCTTTGGACTGCAGAGAGGAAGAAGCCTACACTGCCACCTAGAAGGCAGGCAGGTGAGTGACTGAACAAGCTGTAGTGGCAGAGGTATGGGCCAGGGTAGGGGATGCAGCTTTCTTTCTGTTGGGGGCTTTTTCTCCAGCACTGACCACTGTGGGGCACAGGGGGCACAGCAGGGAGACCCCTCTGGGGAGGTGCTGTCTCAGCTAAGTGGAGCATATTGCACGCAGAAGATTTGGCCCTGGCAATGGACACAAAGTATAGGGGCAGTTTGCAGTTTAGAGGAGAGGGGACCTGCAGGGTTTGATCCTGGTGATTGATAAGAAGTGGCTTGAGACTGATCCCAGGGCCTAAGCCAAAGTCAAACGGATCTTCCAGGGCAGAGAAGACACTTAGGATGTTTAAGTGTGACAGGAAGTCTTTGGGAGGCATTAAAAGCTGGTGTTTAAAATGTCAGTGCAGTCAGGGCTGGAAAGATGGCTCAGAAGTTAAGAGCACTGGCTGCTCTTCCAGAGGTCCTGAGTTCAATTCCCAGGACCACATGAAGGCTCACAACCATCCATAATGAGATCTGGTGCCCTCTTCTGACCTGCAGGGATACATGCAGACAGAACACTGTATACATAAATCTTTAAAAAAAAAAAAAATGTCAGTGCAGTCAGGCAGTGATGGCACACACCTGTAATCAAGGAGTTCGAGGCCAGCCTGGGCTGCAGAGTGAGTGCCAACAGGCTCCAAAACTACACAGAGAAATCCTGTTTCAAAAAACAAAAATAAATAAACAGATAAATAAATAAAATGTCACTGCAAAGAGCTTGATAGATGGCTCAGCGCTAACAGTGTGTACTGCTCTGGAAGAGGACCTGACCTGAGTTTCATTTCTCCGAACCCAAGTAAAGTGGTTCACAGCCACCACCACTCCAGCTCCAAGGGCTCCGGCGCCTCTGACCTCCACAGGCACAGAACTCCAGTACACACACACATATATAATCAAAAACAAAAATAAAATCTAGGGGCAGGATAGATGGTTCAGAGGAGCTGGGTTCAGTTCCCAGGACCCACATGGTGGCTCACAGCCGTCTATAACTCCAGTTCCAGAAGATCCTATGTCCTGAGTTCCACAGGTATCAAGCATGAACATGGTGCCTATAACACAAGCAGGCACAACACTCATGCACAACACTCACTACGTAGCCCAGGCTGACCTGGAACTCATAGAGATCCTCCTGCCTCTGCCTCCTGAATTCTGGAATTAATGTCACTCACCATAATAATACCTGGATAAAAAAAAAAATGAAGGTTATAGTAGTGCTGGCAGAGGGGAGCTGGGAAGAAGAGTTGGGTGAGATGCTTACAGGATGGTCAGGTGCCTTCCATCACGGGAACTTGGAAGTGTATCTGGCCTAGGGTCAAAGGAGACAGATATGTGACAGGAGCCAAGACCCCTATTCCATATGGAGGTGGAAAGCCCCAGAATGTCCCTGAGCTGATGTCCCCTCTTGCACTACAGGCCTGGGCATGTGCTTCAGCTTCCAGTCAAGCATCACGGTCCTGGGCTTGTATTTTGTCCACCGTCGACCACTAGCCAATGCACTGGCCTCCATAGGAATCTCTGTGGGCGTCACTCTCTGGCCACTGCTGGCCCGGTATCTTCTGGAAACCCTGGGCTGGAGAGGTGCCTTCCTCATCTTCGGCGGCATTGTTCTCCACTGTTGTGTATGTGGAGCCATCCTGAGGCCTGTTGCCACCAGCGTGGTCCCTGAGCCCAAAGAAGATGCCCCTCTACCGACCAAGACACCGACACGCAGCTGCCTGGCAACATGTGTCTCAACCATCCAGTACCACCTGGCCTTCGACATCCTTCGGCACAATATGGGATTCCGCATCTATATAGTGGGCGTGGCCTGGATGACGCTGGGTCTCTCAGTGCCGCACATATTCCTGGTGCCATACGCTATGCACCATGGGATGGATGAGTATTGGGCAGCCATGCTCATTTCGGTCATCGGCTTCTGCAACATCTTCTTACGGCCAGTGGCAGGGCTGCTGGCAGGCAGGAAGAGCTTGGCTGCCTACCGGATGTATCTGTTTGCCATGGCGACCCTTGCCAATGGGCTCACCAATCTGTTATGCACGGTGTCAGCGGACTTCTCGGTGCTCCTGAGCTATTGCCTGGTGTACAGCCTGTCCATGTGTGGTATCGGGATCCTCGTCTTCCAGGTCCTCATGGACATTGTCCCGATGGATCGGTTCCCCAATGCCCTGGGCCTCATGACTGTCCTCTCTGGTGTGTTTTCTCTCATCTCTCCACCACTGGCCGGTGAGAGCCTGGGAGGGAGGGCAGCCAGGCATGCCCAGGTGGGGCCTGTATAGAGAGGGCGTACGGGACAAGGCAGAGAACACCTGGACAGATTTGAGCCCAGTCTACCATTGTCCCAAAGGGACTTGGAATCTGTGAACCTCCCCTTACCCCAGCAGCTCAGGGCCCATGTTATAGTGTGTGATCTACCTGACAATCAAGGTATGAAAACATAGGCTAGACCAGTTGTTGTGATGCATGCCTGTAATCCCATGAGTTGGGAAATGGAGGCAGGAAGATCAAGAGTTCAAAGTCATACCAGCCTAGGCTATATGCGACCCTGTCCCAGCCTCCCCATTAGAGAAAAGAGAGACATAGAAAAAGAGGGCTAAGAGTACTGGCTGGTATGGCTTTGAACTCTTGATCTTCCTGCCTCCATTTCCCAGCAATGAGGACCTGAGCTCATTGCCAGCACCCACATGGTGGCTCACAACTGTTCAGAACCCCAGTTCCAGGGAATACAGCGCTCTTCAGGCCTCCACAGTACACTTACATACATGCAGGTAAAATGGATCTTTTTAAGGTAGGGAGGGGCTGGAGAGATGGCTCAGCAGTTAAGAGCACTTGTTGCTTTTGCAGAGGACCTGGATTCAGTTCCCAGCACCCACCTGATAGCTCAAAGCCATTAGTAACTCCAGTTTTAGAGGACCCATGCCCCTTTCTGGCCTTTGTAGGTACTGCACACATGTGGCTTATATACATACACGAAGACAAAACACTCATACAGTTAAGTAAAAGATTTTTAAGTGGGGAGAGGGAGGGAAAGAGAGAGAGAGAAAGGGCTTGCACTCCAGACCCAGGTGAATCTGTCTCTTTTTCTGAACCTTTGCTCCTATCAGTGAAACACGCTGATAAGAGGCACGGCCTTGTAAGGATCCCAAGGCACGAAGGAAAGGGCATGGCTCATGATAAGAGCTGTACCTGTGTTTACTGTAATGAACATCCTGCCAACTCCAAAATGCAGAAGAGAGCACGTGCTATAGCCATCCACCCAGAACAGTCACAGAGTGCACCCGGTCAAAGCCTCACTCTTGGGCCTTACCCTCAGGAGTGGAAACAAAGAGATGTGTGGGGAGGGAAACAAGCCGAATTTGTATGATGAGACCCAGGGGGAAGGCTACGGCTCAGCTGAGGGAGGGACTGTGGGAATGGGTGGGAGGAGGCTGGTCCAGGGGTGGTCGACACTCAAGTGCTCTGGCAGTTACTATGGTCAGACCCTATCTATCCTCAGCAAGCAGCCTTATTTATTTGTTTATCTTTGGATTTTCAAGACAGGTTTCTCTGTGTGGCTTTGGAGCTTGTCCTGGAACTTGCTCTGTAGACTAGGCTGGCCTCAAACCTACAGAGATCCGCCTGCCTCTGACTCCTGAGTGCTGGGATTAAAGGTGTATGCCCAGCGAGTCTTTTTCCTAAGTGTGTTTCAGTTTCGCAGGAAGTCCTGCAGGCAAATGGATGCCTAAAGAGGCAGGGTTAGGGCCTAAGGTAGGGTTATGGCTGGGCAAACAGCTCGGATTCCATTAACCCTTCTCTCCATTTTCCCTGCCACCAAGGGTAAAGAGCCCTTAGGGTCCCTCCTGGGGAGGACATCTGCCTAGGCCAGAAGCCAGGTGTTCCCCCCCCACATACCTATTGTGCACCTCCAAGGTACCAGCCATAATTCCTTGTTGAGCAGAAATGAGTCTAAAATCTCTACCTTCCTCAAATACACAAGTTAGTTGGAGGACACCCTTGCAGCGTCCATGGTGGATTAACCTGTTCTCTGTCCTCTAGGACTCTTGCTGGACACGACCAACAATTTCAACTATATTTTCTATGCATCAAGCTTCTTGCTCATCTCGGCCTCCCTCTTCATGGGTGGGGGCTTCTATGCCTCAGATAAGAAGAAGCTGAAGCAAAATGGGCAAGTCAAGGTGGAGGACCCCGTCTCGGAGATTACCCCGATGCAGCAGGGTCTTACCTCAGAAGACAAGGCCAGCAGCCAAGAAGCAACTGTGCCCTGAAAACATGTATGTGAGCAGTGCCTAAACTTAGAGGTCTCATGTGACCTGACTCCAGGCTTGGAAGTCCCTGAGGGACTGTCCTTCCAGAAAGCAGAGTGTAGAAATGGGGCCTTGTAAGGGATGCTGTAGCCAGCCCCTAAGCAGGCGTGGCTACAGCATCCCCTACAGGGCCTCCCTGGCCTTGGGTCCCAAGAGGGGTCTGAGCCCTGCTCGAAGCAGTCATGGCTAGCTACCCTGGGATGGCTGCTCACAGCTGCTCCTACAAACCAACACTCTGTGTCTTCCCACCCAACCTTCCTCCGTAGATTTTCCTTCTTGGCCTCCAGACAATTCTGAAGAACTCACCTTTCAGAGTCCAAGAACTTCCTGCTCTCTCTTCTCAAATAATCGGCCCTGACCCCTTAGATCACGAGGGTTAAGGGTGCTGCTTCTGAAGTGGACCCTCACACTGACTGGAACCATAGGAGAGGAAGAGCTGGAAGGCCAGGGTGAGAAGTCGTCGGCCTCAGTACAGGATGGGGACAAATAGGCTGTTGGGTGGAGTACAGGTCCTGACAACTATGCAGAGAGCTGTCCTGGAGGCATCCTCCTGCTTGGGTTTCAGAGTTTATGAAGTCTGAGGAGTCTTCTACCATCAAGCAGGGCCTGAGCCAGCATCTTCTCTTGTACCCCACTTTGTATCCACGTAAGGGAAGGCAGACATCTGACCGGCCCGGACTGCAAGGCTGGCCAGGTAGCCTAAGGAACATTGTGAAAACTGGACTTGTGTGTGTAAACGGTAGCCTGTGCTCTACTCTTGGCCTTATGAGCGTCCCTTTCTTCAGGATGTGTTCAAGGTATCAACCCTGCGGCTGCAGTTGCTGCTAGCCTGAACCCATGGCCTGGAGCTATGCCCATGGACACACTTCTGCCAGTGTGTCCTCTCAGGTCATTACCCAGGGCTAGCTGTCATCAGCCCAGGCTTGTCCCAGCAGGGCACTCCTGGGAATGGGAAAACAGACTGTTTGAATTATATACAAAAACATTCCCTGAAGGGGGTCATAAACTCTGGGCTAATAAAGCAGGAAAAGAAACCTGAGTAAATTTCCTCCGCTCTCCCAACTTGGCAGAAACTTCTTGGTCTTGTTTGTTGGTTCAGGCTCAACCAGGCTGCAGCAAGAAAACCTTATCAGGAAAAAACGACTTTATTTTCATGACTGACGCCAGCCTTCCTCCTCCGCAGAGCCATCTGGCATGAATAAGCGTCTTTAGGACTGTCCTGACTCCTCTAAGGCTATCTTGAGTGCCCCCTCATGGCCAAAGGCAGTACTGCAGGGGTGCCTTTGCTGATCCCTGGGTCCCACATGGTGGAAGGAGAGGTCCCACTACCACAAGTTGTCCTCTGGCCTCCTCATGTGCACTGTGGCACACACACACACACACACACACACACACACACACACACACACACACACACACACAAATACATGCAAAAGTAATGCTTTTTGTTTTTTGGGGTTTTTTTAAGTTTGGCTTGTAGGAGATAATATCACCTTCAGATTGCAAAGTCTGCCTCTGTGTCTAATCCCCACTGTTTTCCTGATCCCAGCTTGGTCCTGAGCTTGGCCACAGGCATAGCTTGTGCTCTGAAGGGGAAAATGCCAGGACCAATTTTTTCACCCTAATGGAAAACAGAGTTGGGGCTGGCTAATAGTTGGACTTTCAGGAAATATGGAACCCATGAACCTCCAGCTAGGAAATTTCCATCTCACTTGCCCGCTGGTAATAATGACATTAATCTATGGGCAGCAAGCAAAGAAGAAATGAGGATAGGTATGTGTACCAAGCCCTGGGTTCAATCCCCAGCCTCGACTAAACCTACAAGTGTTGTAATCCCAACACTCAGGAGGTAGAGGCAGGAGGATGAGTAGTTGAAGATATTCTTGGCTACATAGTAAGTTCAAACGAAATCTCTGGGCAAAATTCCTTTGACAAATATTTATTGAGCATCTACTGTGTTCCAGGAACCAAGCAGAGGGACTAAGTCCATGTCACTCTGCCCTTGGCACAAAACCAGAGGCTGAAACTTCTTTCCTAGAGGGCGGACCTGCAAATGAGCGAGACTTGAATGACCTTTGAAATTCCAGAACCCACACTTTGCTGATCCCCTCAAAACCTTCTAGGAATGATCTAAAGCAGTTCCTGGCCACAAAAAAACAAACAAACAAAAAACAAAAACCTGGAGCTTGGTTCCATGTCCCAGGCTCCTGGTCCCTAGGTCTTTTGACGCTCTTTCTAGTCAGAAGCCAAAGAGACCCCTGGCCACCTTGACCTGAGATGTACTTCCCCAGGGTAGACCAGGCTTCTCACAAAAACCAGAGGCCGGGAGTTCTCATGGAGCAGCCAGACTCAAGCACCCAGACTAGGGTCAAAACTCTTGTCCCAGGTTGCGCTGGGCAGAAATTAACCAGACTTGAGCCCCAGAGGTGGGGGGGCCTGGGAAAGGTAAAGGACATAAGCCGTTCTGCAGTAACTCAGACCCCTGGTACCAAACACAGAGCTAGTACCTGACCCTTGACCCTCTGCCTCCATGACGACGGCGTGGCAAAGCTGCCTCCCTTCCTGATGCGCCTCGGGACCCTTAGGGCCTGTTTTGGGTTTGGGGGATGCTTTGTTTTGTAGTCGGGGTCTTGCCACGTAGCCCTGGCTTGCCTTGAGCTCTGTTCTCAAACTCACGGAGGTCCTCCTGCCTCTTCCTCCAAGTGCTGGGATGATGACCGTAAGGTCCGGCGGTCTATCAGTGCCACCCATCCTTCGCCCCCTCCCTTTCTCCTCTTTCTTCCCTCCCTCCCCTCCTCCCGCTGCGAATCCCCGCGGCTGCGCAGATGACGCCCAAAAGCCCTGCGCTCGAGGAGCGGCGCCAGAAGCCCGGGAGGCGCTCAGTAGCCACGCCCAGTCCCGTCCTGGTCCTGCCCCTTCCGCTCCCTGGGGCGGGGCTATAGAGCGATTTCCGCCCTGAGCCCGGAAGCGGTGTGCAGAGCGCGGTGAGGGCTGTGCCTCTGGTTCCAAGTCGCCCCGGCTTTTTGTCCCCCGGGTTGAATTCGGTTTTCAAACCCGGCTCTGGCAGGTTCTGAGACGCCTGCGCATCCCCATAGCCCGTCTCCCGCTGCCAGTCACTGCAGACTCGGAGCCCGGGCCGCACCGGGTTGCCTGCCGCCTGCCGCCCCCGGGAGGGGGCCTGCCCGCCCGGCCCCTTCGCCGCCCCAGCCATGGCACAGAAGCCCAAGGTAGACCCCCACGTCGGGCGGCTAGGGTACCTGCAGGCGCTGGTCACCGAGTTCCAGGAGACCGAGAGCCAAGGTGAGAGGCGCGGGGTGGGCGCGAGGGACCGGGCGGGGCCCCGACGGCAGCAGCCCGCGCGCGGCCCGAGCCCAGCCCGCTTCCCGTTGCAGACGCCAAGCAGCAAGTCCTCGCCAACCTCGCCAACTTCGCCTATGACCCGAGCAACTACCAGTATCTGCGGCAACTGCAAGTCCTAGACTTGTTCCTCGATTCGCTGTCCGAAGAGAACGAAACCCTAGTGAAGTTTGCCATTGGTAAGGGTTAGGCCCGGACTAGAGCGACCTCAGAGATTTACAAGTGAGGCCATAAGCCAGGCGTGATGGCACTCGCCTGTAAACCCAGCATTATGGGGACCTGAGGCAGGAGGATTGCCACGATTTGGAGGCCAGCCTGGGATGCAGAGTAAGACGCTGTCACAAAATGGAACCAGTCTTTAGGACAGGAATCTCATCTGCCAGGGCACACCTCTTATATGTGTGGCCATCTCCTCCTCCATACATTGTCCGGGTCACAGCTAGTCTGAAACAGGGCTGGAAGTCAATGCCAGCGCTTCATGTCTTTCCTTCCTCTTAGACAGGAGAGAATAAGCAAGGAAATGAGTCAAAACTGCTTTGAAAGAAGTTTGGAGCTTGCTCTTATATCGAGACAAAAGGTGACTTGGAATTTGTAGCTTAGGTCTCCTGAGTTAGATGACTATAAAACCGGGTGTGTGTTGGGAGAGGGGGAAATACACCTAGGTGTATGCTTCAAGGTCAGAGGACAGTGGCTCACAGTGCTTTAATCCCAGCACTCAGGGGACAGAGGCAGGTGGATCTCTGTGAGTTCCAGGCCAGCCTGGTCTACTGAGCAAGATCCAGGACAGCCAGAGCTGTTATACAGGGAAACCCTGTCTGGAAAAAGAAAAAAAAGAATAGCTCCAGGACTGGAGTGTGGCTCAGTGTTAGAGTTACCCTGTATTATGGTGCATGTACTCTCAAGCCTGGGCTCTCTAGATCAATCCTCAGCACTGGAAGATTATTCCAGAATTGTTTAATGTTTAATTATGCACATTTCTCTAACAATACTCTAAATAATTTTTTTTTTTTTTATGGAGACGTGGGTCATATGCCGAGGACAATTTTGTTATTTTTTTTTGATGCAGGGTCTCACTATGTCTCCCTGGCTGGCCTGAACCTTGTCTGCCTTATGGATGCTGGGATTAAAGGCATGAACCACCATCCCTGACTTTCAGAGGGCAAGCTATAGCGTCAGTTCCTCTACCATGTGAGTTCTAGGGGTGCAACTCTAATAGTCATGAAGCTTGGTGTCAGGTGCCTTTAGCCACTGAGCTGTCTTGCAGCCCTAAAAGGACATTTTTTGTTGGAGGTGATTTATATAAACTAGGGTCCAGTTTGGGACCTGTACATTTTGTCTAAGTGTTCCTTAGAGAGATCTCTTTCTGTCCCAAATAATCTTTTCATCTTAGAACAAGTTGAGAAAACTTGAAGGGGCAGGGGTCTAGCTCAGTTGGTAGAGTGTGTGGTGGCCCATGCTTGTGATCCCAGCACTCAGGAGATAAGGACAGGTGGATGAGGAACTTTAGTGCCTCTCCAGCCATGTAGTAAGTCCAAGCCTGAACCACTCAAGACCCTTTCTCAGCAGAGAAGAAAGAAAGAATTCCAAACATAAAAGTTCCCACGTAGCCACACCCACTTCTTCCTGGTCCCAGTTTCCTCCATTGTATGGAATGTTTGCTATAAGCCAGTATACGAGAATCATCATTAGCCAAAGTCTTTAGATTGGTCAAAGGTCCTTCATTTTTTTCCTAAAACCCTTTTTCTGGCCCAAGATCCCACATGGCACACATGACTTGATCATCGTGTCTTCCTTGGGGCTGGGGTGGTGGGAGTGTTTTCTGAGACAGGGTCTCATTACGTGGCTCTGGCTGGCCTGGAACTCCTTATGTAGATCAGTCTGCCTCTGCCTGCCTAGTGCTGGGGTTAAAGACTGGGTCACCATGCCCAAATCGATGTTTTTCTTATGTTTTGTTCTGAAAGGAAGGTGCTGTTTTCTTTGGGTTTTGTTTTGGTTTTTCCAGACAGAGTTTCTCTGTGTAGCTTTGGCGCCTATCCTGGCACTCGCTCTGTAGATCAGGCTGGCCTCGAACTCACAGAGATCCGCCTGCCTCTGCCTCCCGAGTGCTGGGATTAAAGGCGTGCGCCACCAACGCCAGGCGGAAGGTGCTGGTTTTTTTTGCCACATCATGTTAGCAGCATTTAGTGCCAGTGTGATGTAGCTCTCCTGATGCTCACCTTTGTGATCTGACTGAGGGAATGTTTGCCAGGTGTCTCTACAGTGAAGCCACCCGCACCCTGCTTTCCATAGTGTACTTTTGGTTTTTGGTTTTTGGTTTTTAGAGACAGGGTTTCTCTGTGTAGCTTTGGAGCCTATCCTGGCACTCGCTCTGGAGACCAGGCTGGCTTCGAACTCACACATAGTGTACACTTGGGAAGGGAGTTACTGCATAAATTGTCTTAAATCTCTCTTTTTGAGGCTTTTTTTTTTTTAATTTCCTTTACATTTATTTACTGTGTATCTGTGTCAAGATGGGAATGTGGAAGTCCAGGGACAACATGCAAGTATCAGTTCCCTCCTTCCACCATGTGAGATCAAGGGATGACACTCAGGTCATCAAGCATGGCATCAAGTGCCCTTAAATCTCTTTAAGCTCTTAGATTTTGGGGAGTTCTTTGCCAGGAGAGATATAAAATAAACAATGTCTGTGCCTTCTCTGTAGGCAGTAACCAAAGTTAGATCCCACCCAAGTGCAACTTGGATAGCCACTGATGTCTATTGGACTTACAAAATAGGGTGATCCTTTAGCAACTGTACCACCAAAAAATCTTGCACCAGCAGAGGGGATGACTTCCCTGTAGATGGAGAGATGGAGCCCCTACTCCCTCAGTAAGCTGTAGCACCCCCAAGGCCACCACAGTTGGCACAGGCACAGGCACGCACAGCAACTTGGAGACACAGGAGGGAGCCCCTGGAGTCTTGAGTGAGGATCTAATGGCGCTCTCTCTCTCTCTCTCTCTCTCTCTCTCTCTCTCTCTCTCTGTGAGGGGGCATCAGTAGTGAGAAAGCACAATGGGCATACCTTTTGTAAACAGTCACAGTTGCAGCAATGACAGCCCTAGGCTATGTGTAGTGCTGCATGCCTTTAATCTCAGGACCCAGGAGGCAAAAAGGAAAGAAAATAACAACATATTTTGTGTAATGAGGTTAGCAATTACAGTTCCTTAAAAGATGCTCTTTCCATAGTGCTGATGGTTGAATGGTCTACACCTTCCTATATGTCATTGCTTCTTAACCTTTTCCCACTCAGAGCCTTATTTGCCTGAGAAAAACAATTCAGAGGGATGGGTACAGTTCAAGACAGGGTTTCTCTGTGTAACCCTGGCTATCCTGGAACTCACTCTGTAGACCAGGCTAACCTCAGACGCAAGAGATCTGCCTGTCTCTGTCTGTCAAGTGCTATAAAGGCGTGTTGCCACCACAGCCTAGCTGTCTGAGAAATTTTTAGTTACATATATAGCTATATAAAATAAATGCAGAAGCTGGGCGGTAGTGGCGCACGCCTTTGGTCCCAGCACTTGGGAGGCAGAGGCAGGGGGATCTCTGAGCTTGAGACCCGCCTGGTCTACAAGAGCTAGTTCCAGGACAGCCTCCAAAGCCACAGAGAAAGCCTGTCTTGAAAAACAAAACAAAAACAGTGCACAAAACAAATGTTACTATAACAAATCATAAAGAAATATAGTCCTGGTATTTGGGGGGCGTGAGGCAAGAGAATCAAAAGTTTGGGGTACTCCAAAGCTACACAGAGAAACCCTGTCTCGAAAAAACCAAAAACAACAAAAAAAAAGAGTTTAGGGTGATTTTTTCAGTTAAGTAACAACTTTGAGGCCAGCCTGGGCTACATGAGACACCCTGTCCTGGAGGGATCCCTGGTAACATAATTTTACTATTTATTAAAGACTACGTTTGTATACTAATAAGATGGATTGTTTATTTTTTCACATAATCAAAACTGGCTGAATGTTTGATACCGTGTGACATAGAATATCCTCAGTGTTTGTCAGAGGTTTATTTTGTTTTGTTTTTTGTTTTTCGAGACAGGGTTTCTCTGTGTAGCTTTGGAGCCTATCCTGGCACTCGCTCTGGAGACCAGGCGGGTCTGAACTCACAGAGATCCCCCTGCCTCTGCCTCCCAAGTGCTGGGATTAAAGGCGTGCGCCACCAACGCCTGGCATTGTCAGAGTTTTAATGGCTTTGATTTTATAAGGTCAGTGCTGAGAACTCTGATTTACAGAACTACACAGTAACAAATGGTAGGTGTATGTTTAGGGCTGTGATTAAAGATGTGTGTAGCTTGCCCAACTGGCCCACCGTTTTAGGGCCTCCACGTTCAGTTACATAGCCTCATGTGTGGTTGTGACTTACAATATAAGAAGCAGTGATTTAAGTCAGGCAGTGGTGGCACATGCCTTAAATCCCAGTACTGCACAGGCAGGTGGATCTCTATGAGTTCAAAGCCAGTCTGGTCTACAGAGAGTTCCAGTTCCAGGACAGCTAGGATTACACAGAGAAACTTGTCTTGGAAGGAAAAACAAAGAAACAGTCATTTAGCTTGTCCTTCTGTCTCCTTCCTTTCCTATAACCTAGAAATTGAATAGTGTAACAGCCCAGTGACACTTTTTATCCCTGAATACATTATGGTATGATATAGATTTTTTTTTTAAGATTTTATTTTATTGAGTATACAACATTTTGCTTCCATGTATATCTGCACACCAGAAGAGGGCACCAGATCTCATAACAGATGGTTGTGAGCCACCATGTGGTTGCTGGGAATTGAACTCAGGACCTCTGGAAGAGCAGTCAGTGCTCTTAACCTCTGACCCATCTCTCCAGGCCCTGATTTGGATTCTTTAGAGACGCCCAGCTCTTGTTAATGTTTGTGGTCCACAGAACGGGAATACAGATCCTCTGTCCCTTTCATTGAGCAGGAACTCCAGGGCACAGAAATCCCATCTGCTCTCACCCTCTACAAGCAGCTGCTCCACTAAGTGTGATGCTGAGGGAATCCACCCTAGGAGTCAGGACCCAAAAGAGGCCCTTGCAGCTGGAGGCACAAGTTTGGGGACTGAGCCTCAGATGCAGGGGAATGGTAGGGCTCTAGGTGGGATCCAGGGCTATGGCAGGAGCCCCTTTGTCTAGGTCTTACTGATTCAAGCCTATCTCTGTTCTTCTAGAATAATGTTATACTAGATAAAAAGTCTTAAAAATTGGCCCCAGACTGGGAGGAAGGAGGATCGGGAGTTCAGGGTCAGCCTCAGCCTATATATATATGGCAAGCCTCAGTTTACAAGACCCTGTCTCAAAATCCTCTATAAGTTTGTGCACACACTATTCTCAGCACCTAGGAGGCAGAGGCCAGCTAGGGACTACATAGTGAGACTTTGTCTTAAAAAACAAGGAACCCTACATACAACTAAATACTGGTCTTTAGATGTGTTCCCAAGTACCTACAATTGTACCTCTGCCTCACTGTTGTGCCCTCTGAATGGTGACAGTGGCCATGTCTCCATCTGGGAACCATAGATCTTTACAGCAGGCTGCTGACTCCAGTGCAAATGACCTAATCACAGTGCAGACATCCCTTCGGGTTCCAGTGTCTGCCTGCTGGCTCCTCAGCACCGACCCCCATGCCTCCCTGGCCAGGATAAAGTGTCCCCAGAACAGGACCCCTGAGCTCCTCTATGGACCTGGAGGCTCCATGGGAGATGGGCCTGGCCTGAGTCTGCCCTCTGGGCAGCTTCCCTGAGTGGATGACTATGTCCTGTCCCTCCTCAAGAACTGTCAGTATCACCACCAGTTTCATTTTTCCGAAGCACTTCTCTGTGCCTGTCCTTCTTCCCCTGGTCTAAGTCTCTGTCTCAAGTGTTCCAGCTCTCAGCCTGGAATCTCTGGGATGCTGCACAGATGAGATTGCTCTTGTATTTATTGTATGCAGCATAGCCTGGTCTGGCTGACATTTCCAGGGAAGGGGTAAGTGGTGTTTTCCTGTGCCAAGCAAGTGGAACTAGCCCTCCTTGCATACCAGGAACTCTCCTCACCAAGGTTGATTCCCCCTAGTTGTGATACCTAGAGCCAGGGTTATCCTAATCTTCCAGGATCTGAATTTGGTGCACAGGGGACCCAGTGGCCAGAGCCCAAGCTCAACTCCAGGGCTTGTCTTCCCTTCTTCTTTGTTTTCCACCATGTCTCCTCTGCCACAGTTAGGAGTTAGCTCTGGTTCGAGAGCATACCTGCTGCACCTGGTGGTGCCCAAGGTCAGGGTCACATTTAATCAGGGACTAACAGCCACCAGACAGTGGGCAGTGGCTTCAGTCACACAAAAGCTGTCCATGGCTGCTGCTGGTAGTAGTGGTGGCGGCGGCGGCGCCTCAGGAAGCAGAGGCAGGCGGATCTCTGAGTTCCAGGCCAGCCATGACTAAGCAGAGAAACCCTGTCTTGAACCCTCACCCCCACCCCAAAACAGAGGGAAAAAATGGCCTCTGAGAATTCAGGTTAAATTGACTTCCTATATCTTGCAATACATATCGATGCCACCAGGTGGTAGTAGTGCTCAAAGGCTAAGTTTCTATAGCTTTGGAAAGCAACAATGTTTTCTCTTGGTTTAATTAGATGTCTTGGGCATTTGAAAGAGTTGTCTTTTTCTTTTCAAGTAAAGTACAAGCGGAGTACAGTGGCTTGCATGCAATTCCAGCTACTTGGGAGTCCTGGGCCAGAGGATCTCTTGAGCCCTCTAGTTGGAGACCAAGCAGGCTTGTTCTAAACATAGGCGACACATAACTGGTCAACATGGTACAGAATTTACAGAATTGGAGAGTGTGATCCTAACATGGAGGTACACCATTATAATCCCGGCACTGGGAGACAAGGGCAGGAAGATCTCCAGGAGTCCAAGGCTAGACTTGTCTACATGAGGGGTTCCAGGGCTACATAGGAATGTCTTGTCCTGTGCATGCATGTACACATGAAAGCGTATTGCTTTCTCTTTCCTTCTTTTCTTTTGGTTTATTGTTTATTTGTTTTTAGATAACGTCTCACTATGTAATACTAGCAGGCCTGGAACACTACATAGACTAGGGTAGTCTCAGACTCACAGAGATGCCTGCCTCTTCTCCCAGGTGTTGAGATTCAGGGTCTGCGCTACTAGGCCTGGCCTGCTTTCTGTGGTTCTTGATACTGTGCTAGGGTGTGGACTCCAAGGCCTCCTGTGTGCTTGCCAGACACTCCACTCTGTTCTGTAGTCTCCACCTGCTTTGGTAATGCTTCCTACAGCTAGCTTTTAGTATACTCTCCAAAGATATTTTCTCAATTTGTGAATCCACATGTAAGTATCATGTGTAGTTTTCGTATAATCTATGCATGAGGTAGCCTGTATATATGTATTTCGTTTGTGTTATTGGTTGAGGCAGGATCATACTCAGTAACCAGGATAGCTTGCAGCTCACTGTGTAGTCCAGGCTGTCCTTGAACCTGCAATACGTCTTGCTAGTCTAGCCAATGTAGTGAACAAAAAGCAATTTATCATTTAGCAAGATTAAAAGTGATACACACCTTTAACTCTAGCACTTAGGTAGAGGAGAGAGGATGGTGAGTTCAAAACCAGCATGGGCTACAGAGTGACGCCATGTCCATTAAAAAAAGAAGAAAGAATATCACAAGGTATTTTCAGAAGAGCCTCATCGCATGTCTGTCCCCATACCAAATTCTGTCTGTTCGTGTGTGTTACATAGATGTGAGCATATACGTGCATGCATATTTTTCTTTCTTTCACAGGTGATGACTCAGCATTTTCAAGTTGCTGGCCCAAGAACAGATTTGTTTAAGTTTTGTAAACTTTATTTATTAGTATTGTGTGTGATGTGTGAGGGGTATGCATACATGCCATTACATGCATGTGGGGGTCAATTTTACGGAGTCAGTTTTCTCCTGCTGACTTTATGCAGGTGCCTGTGATTGGACTTGGGTCAGCAGGCAGGCTCAAGTGCCATTACCTGCATTTCCCTGGCCTGGTTTTATATTTTTTGAGTGAAGGAAGGTCTTCCTCTGTTGTCCATGCTGCCCACGGACAGCATGGTGAGCTCCAGTGATCCCCCTTCCTCAGCTGCCCTCGTAGCTAGGACCACAAGGACTTGCCCACTCACCCTAATCTGAGGAAGATTTTGTGCCCTGTGCCCAGGTGTAGACAAGTCCTTATGTTGAGGTAACATCTCGGGGACCTCCTCAAGAAGAGCTCTCTCAGTCAGCAGGTGCCCAGTGCCATCAAGCTTCACCTGTGTCGCCTCCTAATCCCCAGGAAAGTCCCTTTGTGAGCTCTTCCCAGCCCCAGTGATTGACTCCAGTTCACTGGCTTCTCCAAGTCCAGCTCTCCCATTTCAGATTACGCTTGGGAGTTCCTCTTCCACCTCTCAGGGTTTCTATGGTTACTGGTGTCCAGCAGAGCCCTTTGCCTCTTGCCTCCAGCTGTTTTTTTTTTTCCCTTGTCTTTGTCTGTCCAAAGCAAATTCTTCAGCTAGTCAGGACTTGCTTTTCTCTCTTCTTTCTTTCTGGTGGTGCTGGGAATGAACCAGGAACCTAGGCAAGTGCTCCACTGTCAAGCCACACCCCAGCCTGCCCTTTTTGTTTTGCAACTATCTTTAAATGCAGTATGATGAATGCACAGTAAAATGCACGTAAGTGGCAGTTTAATTAATCCTTAAGTTTATTAAGGTGTGTGTCCCGACATGCAAGATGTGGCTTGTTTCTCCCATGTGCCCCACACAGGCACAGCTCTGACCTCTCTCCCCATGGGTTTCTTTTACCTGGTCTTGGTCTTTATATGAGTGAAATCATGTGAGAACCATCCTAAATCTACATTTTAAAAAAAATGTAGAGGGCTGTAAGGAGGCATGGTAGCACAGGGCGTTAACGCCGACACTCAGGAGGCAGAGGCAAATGAATCTCTGTGAGTTCAAGGCCAGCCTGGTCTACATAGCAAAGTCCAGGCCAGCCAGAGCTATACTGTGAGATTCTCTCTCTCTCTCTCTCTCTCTCTCTCTCTCTCTCTCTCAAGCACACAGGCACACACAAACACTTATTCTTTGTATGTATGTGTCATGAGTGTGGTAGCCAGAGATGGATGTTAAGGGTATTCCACTGTGTTTTGGTTTTTGGTTTATAGAGATGTTTCTTTGTAGCTTTGGAGGCTGTCTTGGGATTCACTCTATAAACCAGGCTGTCCTCAAATTCTCAGAGATCTGTCAGCCACTGTCTCCCTAGTACTGGGATTTAAAGACATGCTCTACCACCGACCAACTTACATTGTGTTTTTTTTTTTGGAGACTGAGTCTCTCACTGATTCTGGAGTTCACCAACATAATCTCTCTCTCTCTCTCTCTCTCTCTCTCCCTCCCTCCCTTCCTCCCTCCCTCCCTCCCTCCCTCCCTCTATAAAGAGGATACAGACCCATGTGATCATGTCTGACTTTTTTGGTTTTTTGAAGCAGGCTTTGGAGACTGTCCTGGAGCTAGCTCTTGTAGACCAAGCCAAGTGCTGGGATTAAAGGCGTGCGCCCGGCTTACCTTTAAGATTTTTTAAATCTTCAGTGTGTGTGTGTGTGTGTGTGAGAGAGAGAGAGAGAGAGAGAGAGAGAGAGAGAGAGAGAGAAATGGAGGTGGGGGAGGTCCCTGTGGGCAGGTAGAAGAGGACATGGTAATCAGGTAATGAGGAGCTACAGCTGGGTGGAGTACTTGTGAGCCACTGAGAGTCTGGGAACTACACTCCCAGGTCTTCTGCAAGAGCAGTGTGTGGTCTTAACTCTGAGCCTTCTCCCCAGTCCATGGGGTTTGTTGTTGTTTTTCGTTTATTAGTTTTTGTTTTGTTTTTAATTTTTATATGCATTGGTGTTTTGCCTGCATGTATATCTGTGTGAGAGTGTCAGATCCCCTGGAACTGGAGTTATAAACAGTTGTGAGTGGCCATTGTGGGTTCTGGGAATTGAACCCTGGTCCTCTGGAAGAACAGTCAATGCTCTTAACTGCTAAACCCGTCTCTCCAAACAAGTTTGGAGAAGGGAAGCCCGGGCAGAACTGGTGTTCCAGTTTTTTCTTCCACCTTTTTTTGGGGGTATGTTGAGACAGGGTTTTTCTTTGTAGTCTTGGCTGTCCTGGAACTTGTTCTGCAGAGATGGCTGACCTCAAAACCCACAGAAATCCACCTGGATTAAAGTCGTGTTACACTACCTCCTGGCTAGTCCTTATGTTTTTTTTGTTTGTATTTGAGACAGGGTTTCTCAGTGTAACAGCCCTGGCTGTCCTGGAACTCACTGTAGAGCAGGCTGGCCCTGAATTCAGCTCTTTTTTAACTGGGGGGGGGGGGTTGTTTATTTGTTTGAGACAGGGTTTCTCTGTGTATCCCTGTCTCTGTAGCTAACCTCGAACTCAGAGTGCAGGGATTAAAGGTGTGCGCCACCACTGCCCAGTTCCATGCCCTTCTCAGCTCTTCACAGCAGGCAGGGTCAGGGACCTGCACTGGTGAGGGTGCTGGTGGGTCGTCTGGTACCATCTTGGTGCCCCCAGCCCGGTCTTCTTGTCTCAGAGTCTCAGCACTTCCCCTGGACCCTCACCCTACTGTCCATCTTCAAGAGATGCTGCAGCTAGGCAGAGGGGCCTACAGCCCTGATGGCCGGAAGCTGAGTCAGTGAGTACAGGAAGTCATCTTCCGGCAACGAGGAGCCGGAGCTGAGCAAAGTGCTCCTCTAGAAAAGGTAGCATCTGTCCTCAAGACCAAGAGGCCATTAGATTGAGGGGCCTAACCTGAGAGTGAAGAAGGGGTCTTGGTCACACACCTGTCATCTGCATGTATGCATGTGCTCTACACACATGCCTGGTCCCCACAGAGACAAGAGGACATTGAGCCCCTCAACTGAAGTCACAAGTGATTGTGAGCCACCATGTGGGTGCTGGGAACTGAACACAGGTCCTCTGGAAAAGCAATAAGCACTCTTAGCCTCTGAGCCATCTCTTGACAGTTTTTCTTTTTTAAATAAATTTATTTATTTTGCATAAGGTCACAAATTCACCTCCTTCCTCCCCTTCTGATCCCCTCCCCACTCTTGACAGTTTTTTTTAACCCAGAGTCACTGGCCTCTCACTGTGGACTTTCCTACTCCCCAGAATTCTCCTAACAGTGAGGTATAGTGTTGTGTCTACTTCACAATATAAATAGTGGCAGGCTGGACTCCCTGAAGCCTGGAGAGGAGACTGGGTTTTGGTGACCTTGCAGTCCTTGGCCATGGGCAAACTTTTCTCCAGGCCTGGGCAGTCCCCGGGACTCACTAGCCAGAGAGAAGCTGGGAGGAAAGATGAGAGGACCCCGGACCACAGCACCCAGGCTCATCCTTGCCTTTCTCCAGGGGGCCTCTGCAACCTGTGCCCAGACAAGGCCAACAAGGAGCACATCCTACAGGCCGGGGGCCTCTCGCTCATCACCAACTGTCTGTCCAGTCCTGACGAGGAGACCGTGTTATCTGCTGTCACCACACTCATTTACTTGAGCTCATCCGGTGCTGGCTCCCACCCGGAGCTCACCTCCTTGCCCGTGGTCCAGTGCATGCTGCGCTTTTCGATTTCAGCCAACACAAGGCTCCGGAACCTGGCCCAGATCTTCCTAGAGGACTTCTGCTCCCCGAGCCTGGTGGCTGAGGCCCAAAGCCAACAGGCTCATTCTGCCCTGGGAATCCCACTGCCAAAGACTAAGTTAGTCCCACAGCAGCCCTGATCCAAGAAGACCTCAAGACCCTGCCACTTTCTACCTGAGACCAGTGCTGGCATAGGCATAGGAAGCAGAGGCTAATAATAGCATCTTGAGCCCATCCTGCCCAAGTGGTACCTGTTGGTTGTGTGCAAGGTGCAGTCTCTGGGCATGGCAGTTATTTACAGCTAGGAAAAGCAGTTGAAATGGAGAAGCCAGACTTGAGATGCTTAGAGGAGAAAACCAAAGCTGATATGACTTTCATGGACTAGTGTTCCCAACAAACTACAGACATAAGACCACTGCTGATGCCCCCAGTGCCCAGCTGACATGCTCATTAAAAGCTTTGCATTGGTGTACTTGAGCAGCTACTAGAACCAAGACTCGGCAGAGTGGCCAGTAACATGAGTGTCTAGAGAAACTCTGATGGCTAGAGATAGGTCAGCCTTATTAGCTGGGAAGGCACTGTGGGTAACTCCTCCAGTCGTGAGGCTGAGCATTTGGGCACAGCAGACATTGACTTGGACAGCTCTGTAGCCCAGAAACAACTGCCCAAACAACCCAGCCCTCTGCTAGGCACCCTTCGAGCAATGCCAAGATGAAGTCTGCCCTTGGCTGTCACACCTCAAAGACTATTAACCAGATGACCATCAGGCATAGGAGCAAGGCCCTCCGGGAGTTAAGAGCAAAATAAAGACAGGGGAGCTCAATGTGGAGGTGCACACCTTGACCCTTTGAGAACCTACATAGGATCCTAGGACATAGTGACTTCTGCTTACCTTGTGACCAGGCTGTGGTACCAGCTGCCCCCTGTGGCACCCCAGTCCTTCAGAAAAGTCCCTCTGGCCCTCTCTGCCTGTCATCAGATCTTCTGACACTAGGATGGGAGCCCTGGATGTAAACCCTTCACGGCTATCCAGTTCTACTTCCTGTCATTCTTCCAGGAGCCACCAGCCTCCAAACCTATTAGGACTCTGATGCAGATCTTCAATAAAGACACCTAGAAACTTGATGCCAGTGTGAATGCCAACAAAAGAGCACGGTGGCTTAGACCTGTAGTCCTGTCTATCACCTGAGGAACGCAGGCAAGAGGGGAGGCATGAGTGACACCAGCCCACCTAGTGAGTTCCTGGTAAGATCCTGTCACTAATGTCTGAAGGACAGCAAGACCCTGTAACTAGCAACGCCCTCCCTCCCATGCCAGTGAAAAGAAAAAATGAAACTGGGGGGGGGTGAGAAGAGGGTAGACCTGATGAGAAGTTGGGGTTCAGGACAAATGGGTCCTGATCTCAGCATTGTCCCCTTAGATGAGCAACTAGAAGCTGTGTTAGAGGAAGGAGAGCTAAGGAAGTGGGGCTGTCCCTACAGCCCCTGGATGAGGGAAGTTACCTCACCCCACCCCCACTGCAGGGCAGTGGACCCTTTTTTTCCTAAGAGAAGGGTCTTCAAAGAACCAAAGCCTTGGGGCTGGGGAGATGGCTCAGAGATTAAGAGCTCTGGCTGCTCTTCCAAAGGACCTGAGTTCAATTCCAGCAACCACATGGTGGCTCACAACCATCTGTAATAAGATCTGGTGCCCTCTTCTGGCCTGGAGGCAGAACATTGTATACATAATAAATAAACTTAAAAAAAAAAAAAAAGGAGCCAAAGCCTTGCTTTTAGTTTTTATTTTTATTAAAAGCCTCCTGAGTTCCCCAGTATTTCTGTCCAGCCCTGCTCCTGCGTGTAGCCATCTTGGCCAAATGGCAGAGTTTGTTCCAGTGGAGGTTACAGTGGCCCCTGCTTGGAGAATGTCGCCTGTCCACTGTCCATGTAGGTTCTTGTTGACCCACCTCAGGGTCGTTCACAGGCTGGCTCGCTTGCTGTCTATAATCCCCCTCCAGTTGTCACTCCAGGAAAGCAGCCGTCTCCTGGTGGGGGGCAGAGCCAGGTGCTGATTGTGGCAGCAGGTGAACAAGATGTGCTCCCAGCTTGGGGTCTCCTCCAGGCCTGGGGCAGAAAAGGCACAGCCTGTCGTCTGTAATCTGATTTTATTTTTATTCCTCTACCTAATCCCAGCAGGCCAGATGCCTGAAGGTTGTCGAGGTTAACTGGCCCAACCTTGAATGGTGTCTTTGTCATCAATGAGCAGGTCTCCCACGACCACTGTCTTGTCCCTAGTCAGGATAATCCAGTTCAAAAACTGAGGCCCCAGGTTCT